AAAGAATGGATGTAAACTGTCAATGGCACTCGTCAAGCTGACAAAATGATGGTATTCAGTACATATTAAACCATGACAATACAGTCACTGTATTGTGAAGCAGAATATTGCTACATCTTTCTGAATGGGGAATTCAAAAGTAAAAAAAAAAGAAATGTCATTAAACAATCTTCTAAATATTGCTAGAGTACATAGCTCTGTACGAAAACTTAGGCAGTATTTGGCAACATAAGTTTTAAGAATTATGGGTTCATAAGATTCAACTTAAATCTGCGCAAGATGTACAAATAGTATCGCCGCTTTGTTTTACAATATACAATAATACAAGGACATTGCATGATCAGTAATACAAATAAAACATTCAGTTTTGCAGGTGATTAAAAAAGGTGCTTCAAACTAGTAACTGGAAGAGCCTATCATTCTGTAACAACCACATACATAAAAAGTCACCCAAGACTTTGGTTAATACATTTGTTGCTGACCAGAGCACCAATTTACTTTGAATCTATTTACAATAGTGTTCTAGAAAGAAATTAGTGTTTGTTGCAGCTCACTAGGTTCACTTAATTTGGTCTGGAAACTTTTCCAGATTATCAACAGTCAGTGTCAAAAGGCATAAAAAAATAAGCATATTTAAAACAAGATTTCTCAGCTCATGAACTTGATGGCCATCAATCAGAATTTACAGCAGAATCAAAAGGAAATAACATAGCTCTTGAAAGAACATGAATGTTTGGCAGTGACCAAGGGCCGGAATAAAAAACACTTTACACCATGGTTTTAGCTTGAACCACAGAAACTAGACTGACAAAGTGCAAGTACAATGGGTCATCAATAATTACGTGTGGCCTACAGTATACGTGTACAAGCGAATTCAGCTCACTGAGCATGAAGTATATGTTGGAGAAACCAGAACATAATATAATGTACTGAGAATTCCTGAAATTATGGCACATTCACATGGGCACCAGTATCCCTGAGCAGCTAAAACATGAAAGTTATGGGAAATCTTTTACAATTTTGCTCAGTATTTGTTTTAGACAGTATAAAAGACTTGACAGAAAAATGATATTCCATAATTTTTGGGCTCTTTAAGGCCTGTGTCAAAGGATGTAGCTGGCAAAATAGGGTATCTTCCCACAAGTCAATGGTAATGCAAAAGCAGCTTTAAGCAAGGTAATGCATCCTAGGCCCTTTCCACATGGGATGGGTTCCGTTGGTGTCCGCTTGCTCAGTGGGGGATCTGTCCGCTGATCCCCACTGAGCAAGTGGATAGCAGGTCAGTGTCCACTCCGCTTATGACAGAGCCTGCTCTCCTCTACAGGCGGTCGGATGTAAAATGGACCGCCTGTTTACATCCATATCCGCTAGACAGATGGGGATCCCCATCCGTCTGTTTTTATCAGATAGAAGCGGATGTAGGAGGGTGTAAACAGACACGTCCATTTACATGGAGGCCGGTAGAGGAGACTGGAGGGTCTGCCTGAAAAATGGACAGGTGGACCCAAATCGGTCTGCTAGTGTGAAAGGGGCTTTAGGAGGTCAACTGCACTGATCGATGAGCGACTGAAAAAAACTGATCTCAAATGCTAGCAGAATGCACTTGCCGAAACATGACATCAATGCAGGAAAAATACAGGCATTTATTGGCCTTTTTCTTGATATTCTAAGTTCAGGGGCTACCATTTTTATCCTTCCTCTAGTACCTTGTTGGGAATGCCAAAAGGTTTCCCCGTGGTCATTGACTTGGTAAATAGTTTTAACAAGCGTGACAATCTTCACCTTTAAAGTCAGCAAATGCAACTTCTGTAGTTCTTTCTTAACAGTTTGCCTTGAAACTTCTCCTGTCATGCTACCTTTATGCCAATTCCTTCTCATATGTGTGGTTCATGACCATTTAGGAATCCTTTTTCTTTCATAATCTAGTAAAACCAAAAGGCACAGGCTGAAAAAAAAAAAAAAAAAGCTGCAAACTGCAAATAATTGTGAGCCCACTTTAAAGATTGTGTTTGTGAACATGCACCAACATAAAATCTTGGCTTAATTCTAAAAGTGGGTCTGGGCACTTGAGATTGGGGTGGGGAAAAATAACAGTGTTTAGTAACTAGTCAAGCCAATCTAGGTGCAACAAGCAACTTGGCTCCCTTGGCAATAAAAACAAAAACCTATTATTATTAGGCACCAGTTGTAACTTTAGGCACACTAGATGCCCACTACCCGGGATCTGTCGAGCCCAGGTGGATGAGCAAAAATATCCAAGCAACACATTGCTGAGACTAGAGAACCCAACAGTGGCAGGTCGTCTGAGAAACTATACAAGTAGGGACTAAACCTTGAGTTGAACATTAATTGCACATTTATACGTACACAAGTCATGAAAAAGACTAATGTATGATAAAAGTACATTTGACATAAGTCAAGTCAAAGTCCAAGTATTTATTAAAACAAGAACGGGTGGTTGGGGGGGGAAGGTAGTAGTAGTGTTGTAAAAGGCACACCATCCACAGTGATTTAACACCCCCATTAACTTGCCTTTATTAATCCTTAAATTGAAGAAAAAAAAAAAAAAAAAAAAAAAACACACAAATTTGCATTACTACAAACCGTAATACCATCTAGTGGAAGCCCAATGTCTTCATAGTTGTAGGGTTCACTTATAAGAGAAAGTTATTTCATTAGTATTAGAAAGCAGTTTGTTTTTAGATGTACATATTGGGGCACATTTGTGAAGTAGCGAGTTCACCAAACAGTCCCTGCTTGAGAATCAACCACTCATGTAAAGCATACACCTAGATTTACCACTTGTAGTGAATGTTTGGTTAACACTATAATTCAATTTGGGGGGGGTGAACCACAGAGGATGCAATTACCCCCCCCCCCCCCCCCCCCCCCGTTTGAAAGAGCTACATTACCTGCAGCAAGTACTAAACAACCAATTAAGGGATAGATATATAGGGGGAGAGTGTGAGAGAGCTTGCAAGATGTGCAAATTGAAATAAACTAATAAAAGGTTTAAAAACTGATACAAATTTACAATTTACACACCTTGTTAACCATTTAGAAGTGGAGGCTGCTGCAGACATGGCTTAAATGATGCTTTTTGCCCTTGTGTTACTGCTCTTTTTTTGTCAGTGTGCTATAGATGATACAGCTCACACCTGACACCACTATTAAACTATCAGCAGCACCATGCCATTGCTTGTAAAGGACAGCAGGAAAACCATTCCCTTTTTTCAAGCACATGTTACAAAACAAAATGTGGCATTTGAAAGCTGGTACTTACACGTTCTACAATGACCATGGTATACAAGATGCTCCAACCTTTTTTTTTTTTTTTTTTCTTCCTAACTTGACCTGCTCTGCATCCAGACAATGAATGGTTGGATAAACTTGTCTAGGAACGATTATGGGGTCGATGTAATAACAGTACCTCAATAGGGGTATTCTCATTTTGGGATGGCGATGTGACCATGAGAATGAAATAGGTGGAGAAGAATGGCATGACCACTCCAAGGGCAGGGACTGAGTTATTTGTTCGTAGGTCTGTCAGATATACAAGGTTCAAAAAAAAAAAAAAGGTGAATTGACAGGATCAGTCTCCTAAACCTAGGTCACATCCTTTTCCGTACTCTGCAGTGACACGGTCACTGTCAGTCCTTGTCATTACTTAATCTTTGTGTAACGCTGTTTATCAATAGCTGTCTTTTTGCACACTGATTGCTGAATAAGTGCAGATCAGTAGAGACATTCTATTTGCTCGGCCCTATTAGCTGGCACGATTTTCATAGTACTGTAGAAACTCAGAATTTGATCAGGGAGATCCTCACTCACTAGTTTTGCTTCTTTAATAAAAAGCTGAAGACACTAATTCTCACTCCCAGTGCTGCTTTCCAGAACCCTTGGAAATGGAGGGGACACATGTGGCGAGAAGCATGGCAGAGAAGCGATGGCAGAAGAGTAGATTAGTGAGTGGTATCAGGGAAAGTGGCAAGGAGGATAGTGTAGCAACCAGGACAGCCTAATGAAGGATGTGTGAAGCAGTTAACAGACCATTCAGTTAGAGGAATGATCCTAATGGAGATGACTGCACAAAGTGTGGAGAAGATGAGACAGCAAAAAAGTGTCAAGATCCCAAAGAAAAAAGCAGCCAGACAGCAGACTGACAGAGAACCCACAAAGAGAAATCAGAATACAAAAGCACCATGCCAATGTTAGTGGTGTGTAGCCTCCAGGAAGCATAGAGAAATGTGCCAAAAAGAGGAGTGAGAGGTGGCCGGGGCAGAAGGGCAGAATGCTGGGTGGAAGACACATGATTTTACTGGGACAGACTGCAGCGCAGCATACAGGTATTTTGAGGCAAAAATGGGAATCCCCTTGTGTTGAAACTTTAAAATGCCTTGCAAGATCAGCTTTTAATTTATATATAGGATTAAAGAAATAATACTGGAAATAGCAAAGCAGCTATTTGATTTTCATTTACAGCTGATTTAAACACAATATGCATAACTATTTAGCCAAATAAATTGGCGTACAGTGTTTACAAAAAAACATTAAAAGTCAGTTTTAGAAAATGGTGATGTCCAATGTCAGATCTTGAGACTTATGCTGGTCTGAAAAACTATACAAAATGAGAATGAACAAAAGCCCTGCAAATATGTCTCTTGTTCAAATAAAATGCCTTGCTATAAGCAACCGTGCAGTTCACTGCATCTGTATGTGGTATTGCCATGCTTTGATGTTTCATTATTGCCTACTTTAAAAAAAAAAAAAAAAAAAAAAAAAAAAAAAAAAAAAAAAAAAAAAAAAACACGCAATGCGAGCTTGTACCCTGCCAAATCTCACAGGAACTGCCTGATCACAACTGAAGGGGTTCTGGGGTATTTGCTACTTTTTGTAAGCTACACATCTGAAAACCTGAGGAAGGCAATCTAAATGGCAGATGGAGAAAGAGAGAAACAGAGCAAGATTGTTCGCATTTTGGGAATTGGTCCAAGTCACACTCAGCTGAAGTCTTCATCAGGGTTCTGTTGATCCAGCAGACGTACATGTGTAAATGGAAAGTGACCATATTTTCCATTACACTCTCCTTCCCATTGACCGCTCACGTTAATCTTTGTTACTGTCACTAGGTCACCAAGCTGTAGAAGAAAATGGGAGAAAATGAGCCTAAACAAAAGCAAAAAAAATATACGCAGTTGCTCTGTAAATCAGGAAACATTACCATTTTCCAAGAATATATTTAGTACAACGCACTAAAGTTTCATTTGGTCTATTATAAGTTCACCACTGTAAGCAAAGTTATAGGTTCAAAACTGAATTAAAGTATAGTTAAACCCAAAATTAAGTACTAAATAAAGATTTTTCTATAAAAGGCAATGTCATAATGTGCTAGTATGCATCACATACTAGCACATTATGAAAGACTTACCTTAAAATGAAGCCATACAGCGGCCTGCTGTCACTGATGACAGGGCTTCCATCTTCATCCGGGCTTCCATCTTCATCCGGTTCCCTTCTGGGTTTGCGGGCTCTGGCTGTCTATCTAGCCCAGGGGTAGGCAACCTCTATCTCCAGCTGTTGTGGAACTACATTTCCCATGAGGCATTGCAACATACAAAACTGACAGTTACAGCTATGACTTGCAGAGGCATGATGGATTTTGTAGTCCTGCAACAGCTGGAGAGCCGCAAGTTGCCTACCCCTGATCTAGCCGAACCGTAATGACTTCACTCCCGCGCATGCACCTGGGAGTCACCGTTTCCGGCACAGACCTCTGAAGGGAGAGCATGGGCATTTCGTTCCTTCAGAGCGCATGCGCAGGTGACATCACCGGCTGCTGCTCACTGGAATATCTCCTAAATGGTGCACATTTAGGAGATACTCATTTTACAGGTAGGATTTACTATACAAACTTACCTGTAGGTAAAAAAGTCAGAAACAAAAGTTAACTACCACTTTAAATGGCGTGTGCATTTTTTTTCACTTAATTTTCACCCAATAATCCTGCGAACACCACCCTCTGATGTTTTTAGGTCTCATTTCTCCACTGTATCTACAGGGACAGCCATGGTTGTCACACGGGCTGGATTTCAAATAATACTTTATTCTTCTCCACTGAGGCTCATTCACTGCATGGATTAGTGTATTTCTGTGGCAGATAAGGACAAGTGCTTGCAATCACCTGTGGACAGGAAGCCTGTACAAATCAATGATAGGACAACACAGTCATGTAATACAAAGTGCAGCAAGGACAGATGAGGACACCTGGCTGCGCCCACCACAGAAACGCTGATCTAGGCAGTGTATGTTCATGTGAATGAGCCCTTACATATAGAAATAATACATTAAATTTGTGAATTGATAGGATTATTGGATTACACAAGAAAGAAGGTTCATTCTTTCTGTGCCTTTTTTTACATTCACAGAAGTGACAAGGACAGTGCATTTGCCAACAAGTATTTTCTGTACTTGCTGAAAATGATCTTAGCTGGAAAAGTCAAACATATGCAGCCACCACATCCAAAGAGTGCGTGTGTGTCACTTAATCTCCTGGGATATTGATCTGGTCAGTTAAGTAGCAGAGGGGGTTGTTAATTTAATTAACACCAAAAGCAGCTGAAACTGATTAACAGATGCACTAGATGGGCAGCAATGAGACAACCCCCAAAACAGGACCGGTTTTACAGGTGAAGGCCACCAACATTTTTTTTCTCCCTACTCATCTTTTCTGACTTTCACTAGTTTTGCATTTGGCTAGGGCCAGTGTCACTACTGGTAGCATGAGGCGATACCTGGACCCTACAGAGGTTGCACAGGCAGTTCAACTGGATGGCACATCAATACGTCATTGCCAGAAGATTTCCTGTGTCTCACAGTTCCTGCCACTGAATAAGAGCATGGAGGAGATTCCAGGAGACAGGCAGTTACTCCAGGAGAGCTGGACAGGGCCGTGAAAGGTCCTTAACCCATCAACAGGACCAGTATCTGCTCCTTTGTGCAAGGAGGAACAGGATGAGCATTGCCAGAGCCCTACAAAAAAATTACCTCCAGCAGGCCACTGGCATGAATGTTTGACCAAACAATCAGAAACAGACTTCATGAGGGTGGCCTGAGGGCCTAACGTCCTCTAGTGAGCCCTGTGCTCACTGCCTGGCACCACAGAGCTCAATTGGCATTTGCCATTGAACAACAGAATTGGCAGGTCTGCCACTGGCACCCTGTGCTTTTCACAGATGAGAGCAGGTTCACCCTAACCACATGTAGCAGATGTGAAAGGGTCTGGAGAAACCATGGAGAACGTTATACTGCCTGTAACATCGTTCAGCATGACCATTTTGGTGGTGGGTCAGTGATGGTCAGGGGAGGCATATCCATGGAGGGATGCACAGACCTCTACAGTCTAGACAATGGCACCCTGACTGCCATTAGGTATCGGGAAGAAATCCTTGGACCCATTGTCAGACCTTACACTGTGGTGCAGTGGGTCCTAGGTTACTCCTGGTGCACGACAATGCCCGGGCTCACGTGGCGAGAGTATGCAGGCAGTTCCTGGAGCATAACGGAATTGGTACCATTGAATGGCCCTCACACTCGCCTGACCTGAATCCAATAGAACACCTCTGGGATATATTTCGGTCCATCCGCCACCTCCAGGTTGCACCTTAGACTGTCCAGGAGCTCAGTGATGCCCTGTTCCAGATCTGGGAGGAAATACCCCATGACACCATCCGTCGTCTCATTAGGAGCATGCCCCAACGTTGTGAGGCATGCATACAAACACGTGGGGGCCATACAAACTACTGAGTACCATTTTGAGTTGCTGCAATGAAATTTCAGAAAAATGGACTAGCCTGCTGCATCATTTTTTCACTTGGATTTTCGGGGGCATCTTTGAATTCAGTCCTCTGTAGGTTGAGAATTTTCATTTCCATCAAACGTTGGGGCATCCCTATGTTCCTAACACATTACCCAGTCCGTATCAGTATAGATATCCAGCATATTTTTCCCCATTGAGATCTGATGTGTCTTCAAAGTGTTCCTTTCATTTTTTTTTTTGAGGTGTGTGTGTGTATATATATATATATATATATATATATATATATATTTTTATACACATACACTGCATCTAGAAAGTTTTCACAGCGCTTAACTTTTGCCAGGTTTTGTTATGTTACAGCCTTATTCCAAAATGGATTCAATTAAAATTTTTTCTCAACATTCTACAAACGATACCCCATAATAACAATGTGAAAGAAGTTAGTTTTGAAATCTTTGCAATTTATTAAAAATTAAAAAATAATAGAAAAAAAAAAAAAAAAAAAAAAAAACACATGTACATAAGTATTCAACCGATCCAGTCTGTGCCATTACACTCAAAATTCTCAAAGCTCTGGTGCATCCTGTTCCCACTGATCATTCTTGAGATGTTTCCACAATTTGATTGGAGTCCACGTGTGGAAAATTAAGTTGATTGGACATGATTAGGAAAGGCATAAACCTGTCTATATAAGATCACACAAATTACCAGTGCATGTCAGAGCACAAACCAAGCCGTGAAGTCCAAGGAATTGTTCGTAGACCTTCAAGACAGGATTGTATCAAGGCACAGATCTGGGGAAGAGTACAGAAAAATTTCTGCAGCATTGAAGGTCCCAATGAGCACAGTGGCCTCCATCATCTGTAAATGGAAGAAGTTTGGAACCACCAGGAATCTTCCTAGAGCGGGCCGCCAGGCCAAAATGAGTGATCGAGGGAAAAGGGCCTTAGCCAGGGAGGTAACAAAGCACCCGATGGTCACTCTGAAAGAGCTCCAGCATTTCTCTGTGGAGAGAGAACCTTCCAGAAACACAACCATCTCTGCAGCACTCTACCAATCAGGCCTGTACGGTAGAGTGGCCAGACAGAAGTCATTCCTCAGTAAAAGGCAAATGCCAGCTCACCTAGAGTTTGCCAAACGGCACCTGAGGGACTCTCGGACCATGAGAAACAAAACTTTCTGGTCTGATGAAACAAAGATTGAACTCTTTGACCTGAATTCTAAATGTCATGTCTGGAGGAAATCAGGCACCGCTCACCACCTGGCCAATACCATCCCTACAGTGAAGCATGGTGGTGGCAGCATCATACTGTGGGGATGTTTTTCAGCGGCAGGAGCTGGGAGACTAGTCAGGATCGAAGAAAAAGATGAATGCAGCAATGTACAGAGACATCCTTGATGAAAACCTATTCCAGAGTGCTCCAGACCTCAGACTGGGGTGACAGTTCATCTTTCAACAGGACAACGACCCTAAGCACACAGCCCACATAAAGGAGTTGTGTAGGCCAACTCTGTGAATGTCCTGGAGTGGCCTAGCCAGAGCCCAGACTTGAAACCGATTGAACATCTCTGGAGAGATCTGAAAATGACTACACAGACGCTCCCCATCCAACCTGATGGAACTTAAGAGGTACTGCAAAGAATGGGAGAAATTGCCCAGAAATGTGTGCCAAGCTTGTAGCATCATACTCAAAACGACTTGAGGCTGTAATTGGTGCTAAAGGTGCTTCAACAAAGTATTGAGCAAAGGCTGTGAATACTTATGTACATGTGGCTTTATTTCATTTTTTAATTTTTAATAAATTGCAAAGATTTCAATATGAACTTTTCACATTGTCATTATGGGGTATTGTTGGTAGAATGTTGAGGAAAAAAAATGAATTTAATCCATTTCGGAATAAGGCTGTAACATTAATATATATATATTTTATTATACATGCACACATGCAATATACTCAAGATTTGGGTTTAGATACACTTTAAAGCAGTTGTGCATGAGATCACAGATCTTTAGTTCTTGACCTTGCTGTTATTGGAATGGGTCTGATCAAAGTTGGTTGGAGATAGTCTTTTGAAAGAAATTGCTGGCAATTCTGGACTAAAGATCTGTGAAGTCCTGTTTTCTTTGGTCCACCTTTTATCCTGTGTTGCCCCTGAAACACATGTTTTTTTTTCGAGTCTGGTGCTCCTTTCTGTATTTCTATGATTTGAAGCCATATTATCAGCAACACTGACAATAAGATCAGATGTCAAATTACCATTTTTGTGCATTTAATTTTTCTGTAATTATTGAACAGACTTGAGACTACCAGTAGGTGCCAG